CAGGATAAACATAAAGGCAGCTTTGCCAGGAGAAGTCCTGATACATCGGAGTCCAGTTTTCTAGCCTGGTGTATAAGGACATCACCCCAAAATGAAGTCTTTTGCAAATGCAAAACTAGACGTGGTTAGAAGTTTCTGATTTTGAAATAAGGTGTTCAGTTTTTTCTTTCAGTGTAATATGGGGGGGGGGGGACTTCAATATATTCACAGGACAAACTGTTGTTCTTGGAGGCTTTTGAAGATGACTAGCCATTCTATTTCATAGGACAGAGTTTGCATTTCAGCCTTCCCTGCTGGCTACTTCCTCTCCCCATATATTCAACTTGATGGACTTCCGACTTTATCTAGCAGGTCCCCTACCTTGTTTTGGTTTGTTTTCTCTAGATTGAGGATTCTGGTAGAATCCAAAGAAGTAAATGACTACCGCTATGGATTCAAAGAGGCTTTGTTCTTACATTTCTGTAAACAACACCATGCTCTTCTTCATATCCTACATCACACAGGAAGTCAAACGTTTTGTAACATAGCATTGAGCTCTGTAGATCAATATGGAATAGTTAAGGAGAAGCAGAACCATTTGAAAACAGTTACGTTGTTGAACTAAAAAGGACTTTGCCAACATCCTTAATTGAGGAGTTACACTATATACTTGTATAAGCGAGGTTTCAGAGCTTTTGTGATTTTGAAGATTTCCCTTGTGTTTAAAAAAAGGAATATGGTGAGGGTGTATTCCTTTTTTAAAACACAAGGCCCTGTGAGGGTTCCGAACATGGGGCACAATGGGGTGAAGTCTAGGGAACATATACGTGTCTATCAATGAAATGATACGTTTGGAATGGAACGTTTTGCTGTGCTAGAAAGACGATTTCCCCCTCTTCCCATATCTCATGTTATGAGATTTAAAGTGATGTCAAATTGCATTAGTCCTACAGTGGAGATTGTTCTCATGGGAGAAGAGGACAGAAAATAGACAAGCAAATGTAATGATGAATACAGGTTCTGAAGTTACACCTTGCCAGATGGGTATTACTTGAATTCTTAGGATGTGAACATTACTCAGAACTTTCTTTTCAGTTCCTACAGAATCAATGTCTCAGGATTAACCACAGGTTCCCTGTAATTGGGGTGTGGTAGCAGAGTGCTGAGACTGTTGCTTGTAAGTTGTAGTGACCCAATAAGGGTTGGAGGTTGGTGGGTGAAGATAGGGGAGAGTTTGTATCTACTGTAAGCCAACCTAATATGTAAGCTGGGGGAATTTTGATATGATCTTGGATACATCAAGGATTTATTCCATAACAAAAGACCAGTGCCACCTCAGGGAGCCAGCCACGCTGGCAGTCACTCTTACCATTTTCCCATCCAGGTATGTAAAAAAACCAGACCTGACTTTATGGTGGACAGAATAGAATAGATCAGTGGTTTTTTAAGGTTGTCCTGGGATGGACTAAGTTCTTGCCTTTCGCCACTGTACTCAGAGAAGGAGATGGTTCCTTGTTGGATAGGAGTTAAGATATCTAACTTACACTGATCAGTTGTTACCTTGACTCAGGTTTTTGGGGTCACCTTTTTGACTGAAATGTCTAGGTTTATACATAAGTATATACAGTAGTATTAAAAATCCACTATACTTCTGAAGTTGCAATCAAAATTGGATTTTACCTCCTTCCTGTAGACAGCATGATATTTAGTTAATTAAAAATGGCTTAAATATTCATGTAAGAAACTTTCTACTAAGGGCTATATTTAAAACTCCTGTAAAAGATTAAATCTTTTTCAGTTCTTTTAAATGACTTCTAACTTGTCCTACTGGAAGGTCACCTTCCAGATTGTATTGCTTGTACAATGTGCCGTACTTAATGTCTTAGCCAAGCAGCCTGATGAGAAGAATTTGTTTTGTGAAACTGGTAAACATCAAAGATTATATTATGCCATTATTATCCCAGCCAATGACCTAGAATGTTGTAAAGTTACTTTTGAATGCCATATTCCTTCTCTGTGTGCAGAAGAAGCAATAACAACAATTAATGTATGTTTTTGTTATTTTTGGAGTAATAAGTTCAAAACCAGCTTAGGCTATTTTTGCCTTGGGTGCGATAACCCCCTCTCCCCGGTGAAGTAAGCTTAGTCTGAATCCACTCTTTATCTAATCACATGCTCCCAAGTTGGCTGGTAATGATCAAAAAGCCCTTGTAGCAATTTGAACTGCTGCCAACATCACCCACTGTTGGAAAAATAAAATAATTAACTTGAACCAACATGCTGATATGCAACTGTGGCAGCATATTTGTGCTGAAATTATGTGTGGATCTATGCCAGTAGGTAGCAGTGAAAACATGGGGAAGAAGCAGCAGGGCATTGCAAGCAGTGTTTATATGCCTTTTTGGGACACCCGTTTAGTTATCACTTGACCTAAAACCCTGGTGCAAGTCTCTCCTCCACATATTTTTACAATGAAGTAAAGATAGGAATTATAGAAATTGACTGTTTGTGTTTAACATGGGTATCTGGATAGGGTTGCTAAGTTAGGACTATCCCAGATACACAGATTTCAAGGTTAAAATGTGAGGTTTAGGGTTAACATCTCATGTTATCATCTGATGAATCATAGAATCATTGAGTTAGAAGAGACCTCGTAGGCCATCCAGTCCCACTCCCTGCCAAGAAGCAGGAAAATTGCATTCAAAGCATCCCCAACAGATGGCCATCTAGCCTCTGTTTAAAAGTCACCAAAGAAGGATCCTCCACCATAGTCTGGGGCAGAGAGTTCCACTGCTGAACAACTCTCACAGTTAGGAAGTTCTTCCAAATGTTCTGGTGGAATCACCTTTCCTGTAGTTTGAAGCCATTGTTCCGTATCCTAGTCGCCAGGGCAGCAAAAAAACAAGCTTGATGAAGTCGCAAGGAGGTCATCCTTGGTGACACAATTGAGCATGATTCATCCAGTATTGACCACAATTGCACAGAATCAAAAACACCAAGGAGTCATTTACACTGACCATTTAGGTCGGTATGAAACCGGCAGAGAAGGAAGTGCTTTCAATACATAGGACTTTATGGAAAGCTCTGAAGCTGGATAGTGCTTATATGCACTGCAGAAGATCCACAGTATTTATGACTTTATGGTCTTGGGAAAATACGTTTTTCCCAGCTCTCTTCACTACGGATCTCATGTGTGGATTGCTGGAATGCCATTTCTTGATTGGTTTCACCATGCAATGTTGTTAACACCTATGTGCACTGACGAGAATTATGGGCACTATTTTGGAGTATCCCATGACTTTGTTTATCCCAGTTTAAAGCCCCCAATGCATGTTGCTGTGCATGTTCATGATACGTGCCATTTAGCCATGTTAATGTGCCCCAGGACTAATAAAATCCAAAAATATACAACCGTTTTTAAATAGTGCTCTTACCCAAAGAGTTCTCTCTCCCCAAGGACTGAGACTCACAGACAAGCCTTGGCAACTATGTGTGGCAGTAGTAATGAGGTGTTTAAGGTTTTATCTTTGATACCAATTCCTTCTAATGGGCAGTCTCTACAAGCAGTATTTCTGGTTGTCAACTTCAGCACAGTGATAAACTATACCACCCAATCTTGCTAGATATCTAAACCAATGTACAGTTACACATCAGGAGTCCCAGTCGTGCAGTGGGTCAAACCCTTGTGCCAGCAGGACTGAAGACCAACAGGTTGGAGGTTCAAATCCAGGGAGAGCACAGATGAGCTCCCTCTGTCAGCTCCAGCTCCCCATGCGGGGACGTGAGAGAAGCCTCCCACAAGGATGGTAAAACATCAAAACATTTGGGCGTCCCCTGGGCAATGTCCTTGCAGATGGCCAATTCTTTCACACCAGAAGCGACTTAAAGTTTCTCAAGTTGCTCCCGACACACAAAAATGTTGCACATCAATTACTTCCTTGTTTGTTATCTCTGTGGAACCCTGGGAAAAGTCCACGGCTATATGGACGCAGCAAGGTGCCCCTATGAAGCCTGGTTCCAGGTCCCTTCAGAGTGCTTCCCCCTCATCTATTCCCCTATTTCTGTCCCATATTTCTATTTCCGTTGCTAACTCCCATCCTGTCACGACTGTTGCTTTATTTAGGGACAGGCACAAGGGCAAATGTCCCATTTATCCTGGATGGATTTTGCTGTTGGCAAGGCTGGAGGACTCTCAAGGTCTCTTGTTAACAGGCAATAAATGTTATGGAAATATATTGCTACAACAAGGGTGATCTCGCTAAACCAGGCTAGGATTCAATTTTATCTCATTTTGTAACCTATTGGATATATGCCCAGTGGGCTGGAAGCTATTTCTTCTAATATTTTAATTAATATTGCTCAAGTTTAAAAGTCTTCTGGTATTTTTGAATGATAGATACTCGTCTTCAAATTTATTCCTGTTACACAATTGACTCAAAACACTCAAGTGCAGAAGCATTCATACTTGTCAAGTATTGTTGGTTTACAGGAAATTGGAAGTAACTTCTTCAAGGGAGGGTGGGTGTTAGATATTAGAGACACAAGGTCTCTGTAAAGTACCAAAATGCAGCCAATCTTCCCAAAGAACTCTTGTTCTTTATCCCATTTTATCTTTGTCCCTTCCTTCTTCTATATTCTAACTCAGATGTTGGAGTGGCAGAAAATAGCATGGTGGAAATAAAGGGACAAAACAAAAGATTCCAAGCATTTTATTTTTTTTCCCATTAGATCTTGACTCATGCCTATTTCATGGAATTTTCTGCAGTCGGGAACACCCAATTTAGGAAAATTATGCTGTGAAAGAACTTTGGTTTTCTCACAAATTGAAATTAATAGAAGATTAAACTCCCTGACGATTGTTAATAGGTATTGTATAAAGAATGTATGTGTAGTCATAACTAAAAGCAAATAAATTGGAATAATCAAAACCCTTAATTATTTAAGGTTATGTTGCTAGAAATCAAAATTGGCATACTTGTTGATATGAGTTCTTTACATTGTGTTCTTTTCCCTCTTCATAGGTCCTTTTGTTCTGCGCCACAGCTGCCCTGTTTATGTTCTTTTTCAGGTATGTTGCCCTACATTCTTTATATTGATGTTTCATTGAAATGGAAAGTGCCCTGTCTTTATACATCCATGTTTTTTCTATGAAAAAGAAAATAATTAACAGTTTGCTTAAAAGAAGAAGCAAAGACCTTAGTAATAGTAATACTTGCTTCCCAGAAATCGAACTTTCCTGAAAATTTATCATTTCATACAATTGGCTAAAGAACTGCAAGAGATATTAAGGGAATACTTTACTGATTCATTTTGCACTGAATAGTTAAAGTGCTAAAATTTCTTTTTAATATAGGTTTCTATACCTATATTGTACCTAGAAACTAATCAAAATATTGACCTTTAAAACTCAGGTTGACTTATCCATGGGTCAATGCAAATATTGTGTCTTAACTCTACTACTACTACTACTACTACTACTACTACTAATAATAATAGCCATCCTCTTCTCTGAGAAGAGTGGTGAAAGGCAAGAGCTTAGTCCTTCTTAGGAAAACCTAAAAGAAACATTGACCCCATCTACTCTCTTTACAATGGAATTGCTTTTGACCTTCTTAAATGTCTGGGTAGGGAAATGGTGGCAGCTAGTGCTTTTTCCTCTCTGCAGAGTAACCCTTGAATTCTCCATAGGTCAGATCAAAATCCATCATTTTGGTCCTCATCTTCCACCAATGCATAAGGTCAATGCATACATGAGTATATACTGTACTTTTAAATGTCATCTGCTTAGAGATCTTACCAACATTAAACTGTATCCAAATGTTTATAAATAAATAAATAAAATGAAGACATATCTGTGGACCACTTCCCTCTTTTGTAGTTATAAAACCATGTGCTTTTCCTTATATACGCAAGAAAGGCAAAATATGCTGAGTATCCTGGAGAAGATGGGATGGTGTGTTCTAGGAGTGCATATAATGACTTTCCCCTCATAATTCTGTTAAGAGAGTGGGATTTTCTAAAATGATCTATTTTTGTTTTCGGTCTTCTGAGTCACTTTCCGCAAGGAGGAAGGGGGAACAGAGATCCCGACAAGTAAATAAAAGAATGCAAAAGTGAATACATAAAGTGATGGTTAGATGATTTGCATTACTTGAAACACACAGCCCTCCTCCAACTTTCTAGAAATGTTATATCATTAATGCTGCAAAATATTTCTCTAGATTCTAGCAACACTCTCCTGGCAAACACATTTTTGACTTTTCTTGATGCTGTAGCACCAAAATTTGAAATCTCCTTCCTTGGATTTGTCCTTTATTCATAAAGAGATATCTTTTCTCAGGCCTTAGCTGCATTGTGTCCTGTCAGTGGTTCCTAACCTTTGGTCCTCTAGGTGTTTTGGACTTCAACTCCCAGAAATCCCAGCCAGTTTATCAGTTGTTAGGAATTGTGGGAGCTGAAGTCCAAACCACCAGGAGGACCAAAGGTTGGGAACTAGGAATCACTGTTTAAACCAGTGGTTCCCAACCTTTTGTTTGGCCAGGGACCACTTGACCAGGGACTACTAGACCAGGGACCACTCCCCAACCATTATGGTTATGAATCAGTTTTTGGTCAACTTTAGATTTGGTTTGAGGTGTTGATTCAGAAAATTCCATTGGATAGACCACATCAGCTCCAGTTTCTGATACAGAACATATGCCATGGTCAGCATTAGGGAAGGAGTGGCAGGTGGTGCGAAAGGAATGGAAATTAAATAAATAAATAAAGAGGAAGGAAGCTCATGGACCAGATCTTCGTTCTCGTGGCCCACAGGTGGTCTGTGGTCCACAGGTTAAGAACCACTGGTTTAAATGAAGTCTTCAGGGATGAAGCTGATTTTTTTTTAATCTTGTGTTTCACATTCAGCCTTCTAATCCACTTTTAGAAAGGGCAGAGATAAACATCTCTATCTGCAGAGAATACAAATGGGATGAGTGAGATGAAACTAGGAGTTAATAAACACAAGGAGGAGGTGACCCTTGGAGGTGGAGAAGGGCCTTACAAGTAGAGTGGAGAGAGTGGCGGGGGCCACAGGGAAAGCCCAGAGGGCCATCACCCTCGGCCAGTGTCCATGGCAATGCAGCCTGCCGCTCCTCCTCCATGTGCCCTCCCTCCACCCTCCTTCTCCTCCTTTCCTCCCTTCTCGGGCCGTAAATTATTATTTTAATTTTATACCTGTTGTATTAGCCGACCCCCGACTTTTCATAAGATTTTTCAGGGTTAAAAAGTCATCTAATACGCCAGAAAATACAGTACTTTTTCATACTGTAGTGTTGTAAAGCTCCCACACTAGCATTTGTGTGTTTGCTTAATTAATTAATTTAGATCCAGTCTTTCTCCCAACATGAGTCTCCTACTAGGGGGTTGAGAAGGGCGGGGTAAAAAAAAATACCCGAAAAAAATGGTTACCAAGGAAACTAAACAAAATACAGCTAAAACCGATATCCTATTTCTCAAATAAAGTACACTCTCAGATTTTGTTCAATTTGCAAATTACAACTACCATGTAGTCCTGCTCCTTCATAAATTTATATGCAAGAATATGAAGTTGACTTTAATAGGCACATGTTCTCATTTAGGGGAAATTCTTAATAGAGTTATTTGTATTGGAAAAACCTTTCCTTTAAAATGAGGGAGTGGATCAGATCTGATTACTCTATCAAAACTTGGCTAGTCTATGGTCTAGAGTGGACATTATGGTAAATTACATTATATGGACAAGCTTAGGTGAGTCTCGAGTTGTGTTCTCCTTTCTCCTATTCAAGACTGCAGACATCAGGTGATCTTTCTATGTCTCTTTTACATTATTATATCTGGACTTCTTATTCATTTTAACTGTGATTTGTTACAGCAAACGAGCTGCTTAAACTGCCATGAAGTTGCCTTCTTTCAGTAAAACCATAGCTATAAATACAGCTTGTCTTGTGTGAACAGCCTTGCAAACTATGATTAATCAAAAATGGAAGTGAGTTTCTCAGCCTTCCAGGACTGCCCAGGGGAAGAAAGGGAGAGCATTTTAGCCCAAATTTTGGTGCTACATCTAAAGCAATGCCTGTCAGAAACCACAGGATTCTGCGCTGCTTTTAAAATCTACTCAAATCTCTTAATTTAGGGAGAGTTCATTACCTACTGGGCAAAACTTTTATAAACCTCATAACATATGAGTACATATGCCTGCTATTTTTTCCGGATTACTTCATTCAACTGAGAAAAGTTGATGGCACAATAAACCATTTAGTCCCCGAGGTCCTGCGCCAGAGCACCTTTTGACCCTTCCTGCTTAGTTTCTCTAAATTGCTTCATTATGCCCTCTCCTTGGCTAGATTGCTAAAGTAACTGTGACTTTCCAGCTCCTGGAGTTAACAGATATCTGCAGAGAGCAGCAATAGCTGTCTGAATTTGTCAGCTGTGACTTCTCCATTTTGCTTTTAATTATTCTAGACATTCTAAAATTTCAAATGTAGCCAAAGACATTCTTGCCGAAGGTGAGGGTGGAGAAGACATGGGGTAAGAGACGAGAAGAAAAATGGTTTGAAAAGCATTCTTTTCTTCGTCCCATAACACTTTCTATTTCTGGCATGGGTAGATATTTTTGTTGTTGTTTATTTGTTCAGTCGTTTCTAACTCTTTGTGATCTCATGGTCCAGCCCACGCTAGAGCTCCAGAGCTCCTTGCCGGCCGTTGCCATTCCCAGCTCCTTCAAGCTCGAGCCAGTTACTTCAAGGATAACATCCATCCATCTTGGTCTTGGTCAGCCCCTCTTCCCTTTTCCTTCCATTTCCCCCAGCATCATTATATCTTTGCTTCTAATATCCTTCCTTCCAGTGAGCAGCTGGGCATTATTTCTTGGAGTATGGACTGGTTTGATCTTCTTGCACTCCAAGGCACTCTCAGAATTTTCCTCCAACACCACAGTCCAAAAGCATCTCCCTTCACTCGACCTTCCTTATGGTCCAGCTCTTGCATCTATAGGAATACTATTGCTTTATGTGGATCTTTGTTGCCAGTGTAATGTTCTACTCTTCGCTATTTTATTGATATTGGTCATTGCTCTCCCCCCAAGAAGTAAACGTCTCCTGATTTCCAGGCTGCAGTCTGTGTCTACGGTAATCTTCACACCTAGAAATACAATGTCTGTCTCCACCTCCATGTTTTCTCCCTCTATTTGCCAGTTATCAATCAGTCCGGTTGCCATAAACTTGTTTTTTTTTAATGTTCAACTGCAACCCAGCTTTTGCACTTTGTTTTTTCACCTGAGTTAGAAGGCTCCTCCTTGCTTTCAGCCATCAAAGTGTTATCTGCATATCTAAGGCTGTTAATGTTTCTTCCACCAATTTTAACTCCAGCCTTGGATTCTTCAAACCCTACGCATCGCATGATGTGCTGTGCATGCAAGTTGAATAGGTAGGGTGAGAGTATACAGCCCTGCTGTACTCCTTTCTTAATCTTGAACCAGTCTGTTGTTCCATGGTCTGTTCTTACTGTTGCTACTTGGTCATTATACAGATTCCTCAGGAGACAGACAAGATGATTTGGGATCACCATACCACCAAGAACTTGCTACAATGTATTATGATGCACACAGTTAAAGGCTTTAGAATAGTCAATAAAACAGAAATAGATGTTTTTCTGAAACTCCCTGCCTTTCTCCATTATCTGGCGGATATTGGCAATTTGATCTCTAGTTCCTCTGCCTTTTCTAAACCCAGCTTGAACATCTGGCAACTCTCGCTCCATGTATTGCAGGATCTTGAGCATTACCTTACCGACATGTGAAATAATGGGTAGTTATGTTTGCTTGTTTTTGTTTTTGTTTTCTACTGTTAACTGACAGCCTGCAATTACCCAGGGAGATTTCTTCTATAATACTTGATGGTAGAACACCTACTTCATAAAAAAAAAATCGAAAATCAGTATTAAATAACATATACCATTTAATTGTTTCACAGTATTATTTTAGTGTTTTCCTACAATTTAGCAATAGCTTTGAGTGAACATAAACACAAATTGGGGCATGAAGTATTTTCT